TGCATCGTTTCTAACATATTTGCATCGGTAAAAAACGATTTATTTGTATAAAATTACTAGTGGATGCACTATACTTTTATTATTTAGAAAGTGACCAATAATCTGTGATCTATGTATTTGTTTGTCAACCGCGTTCTCTCGTCAACCTGACTTGAAATAACCTAACAAATCAATCGGGGCTAAAGCGGTTCCATAAACGACAAATTAAGTTCACACGATCTCACAAATTTTTGCACGCTTATTCTTAAGCAGCCCTTAATGTCGATCATGGATCAAATCGATCTACCATGACAAACAGCGAATATATCTGTGCTGTTTAATGCATTTGAGACGTTGTGTTTTCCTCACTGCATAACTGACATGTCACAGGTATATTTTTAATCTGTAAATGTTAGAAAGTCATGCAAATATATTCATTTTGCTGTCATGAGTGGAGGCTGACGCGAGTGAACACGCTAAACAGACGGCACGCAATCTAATAGGATCGCAATAATTCTGAGTAAAATATACATTTTGCTAAAATATTTGTTGTTAGACATTAAATGTGCCTTTTCTTTTGTAGAATTTTAAACCTTCATATAAGTGTATTTTTATGATAGCAGTAACTGTAAAGGGACTATTGTAATGGGTAAATCAAATGTAAGCTAGTTCAGTACTAATTACTAAGCTCAAATGAGTTCATGTTTGCTTCTTTTAGCAGTTTAGAAGTCATTTTCTTTATTATTTATTTTCATTTTAATTCTGTGATTTTAACTTTTAATTTAGTTATTTTAATGCTTTAAAGAGCAATTTTTGATTGTAATGTTCTGTTCTGCAAAGGTAGCCTTCAGCTGTCATAAAACCAGAGAGAGACTTTCTGCTTGGCTAGAAACTGTAAAAAAAATAAAAAAAAATAAAAAAGTCAAATAATAGCATTCCTATTGGTCAGTGTTAGAGGAACTCAGCTTAGTCTGATAATTAACCTGCTTTAGACCAGGTTAGTTTCCCAGCATAAGTTGCCACAGTGACTGAAGTTGATCTATGTTAAATTTGCTTTATGGAACCAAATCATTTGACTGTCAAATATAGGCAGCACCTGGCTGGGGAAAGCATTGAAACACTCTCCAACCTCCATATTATCCTCAAATAAGGTCATGGCATTCACTACAACAGGATAGTGAGCATCTTCACTGGCCTCCTGGAAGATCTGTAGGATGTCATTCTTGTGGTGCTCCATCACATAAGTCTCAAACACCAGCCCTATGAAGGACACCTGCTCCGGACTGAGCATCATGTTCATCTGAAGACGGAACCGGATCACTCAGACATGAAGAATTCTGCAAGAGAGCAGCAGACGACGGTCTGTACATAAATTACAGTTCATCTTTTTAAACCCTTACACATT